AAAACCCCTAAAACAGATAAAGAAAACTTTCAAGTTAAAAGCTATCAAAGACTGTAACTGAGAAATGGTGTTTTTCTTCACTTAGATGAATGTAGTTGCAGGTACAGAATATATGTTCTTGCCTGGTGATGAGCTTCTCTGCAGAGGAAGCTATTTTTTTCCCTTGTTCTCATCAACCTACACACAACCAAAGCTTTGCAAGCACTTCCCTTTGCTCTGGCAGGCCTGACTATGCCTCGTGCAGAAGATTACTGTCACTTTGCTTCTGAGGCAAGCACACAAAGTGGGGCCTGAGACACAGGGCACAGCTTAGCACCGTGGTGTTAAAAAGATGCAGACCTTAAGGGACTGGATGCAGCTGAGAGGAAAGGGGGAATAATCCCAGCATGGCTGAGTAAAGAGCTACAAGCTCGTGAGTCTTTCCTGCCACGACTATGGGACACCCTCTGTCCCTAACAGAACCAGCCAGCACCATTCAGGAGGCAAGGAGGTTAGGATTAGGAGCTGGTCTGTGTCTACATTCACCATATCAGGGCTGCTTGGAACCCTTCCCACTGTGCAAAATCACCCCACAAAGACAGTTCAATGCTGGCAGCAGCATTGTGCAAAAGGACTTCCAGGTTTGTAAGATGATTCAAGTTTCTTTGTTCAAGTCTTCAAGTCTTTATTTCAAGTAACGATCATTGCAAATTGTAGACAAAGCTTGTGGCCTGGTTTCTCATGAAACTTTCTCCCACGGAGACAGTGCTGCTCCTGATTTGACTTCTCGGGACTCTCAGCAAAAGGCAGCTGGATGTTTCAATTGGATTTCCAGAGCTTTCTGCCTCTCTTTGCTTGTTCCTTTGCTGCTACCTGTCCCTCCAGATGAAGTCAGTCCTTCCCAATCCTCCTCCTAAAGCAGTGCCCGGGCAGAAGAGCTGCTCAGCTGGCGCCGGAGCAAGCAGCGATGTGGTGGCGCGGGATCCCGGGAGCAGGGGGCTGTGCTGCGGCGCTCAGGCTCACGTCCCCGCAGCCGGGTGACCTGCAGGCAGCACGGAGCCCTGCCCTTGCCTGGGGCCCTGCCCCGCCGAAGTGCACTGCTCTGCCCTTTGCTTTTCTCCTAGGAAAAAGCCGGAGGAACGTGCCTGGAGGGTGCCGGCCGTGCGGCAGGGATGCTGCCCGCCCATCCATGCGGCACGCCCAGAGCCAGCGAGCCAGAGGCACCGCGGGCATGTCCCTGCGCTTCTGCAGGCCTCGGAGAGAGCGACAGGAGTAGAAGCTTGGGGCAATTTGGGCTGAAAGGGACCCATAAAAGATTATCTAGTGCAACCCCCTGGCATGAAGAGGGAGATCTTTCACTTGACCAGGTTGCTCTAAGTACCACACAAGCTGGCCTTGAGCGCTTTCACAAACGGGGCATCCACAACTTCTCTGGGCAACAGTGTTTCACTGTCTCACCACCCTCACTGAAAAAAAAAAAAAAAACCTCCTCATGAACCGTCTAAACCTACACTCAACCTGATAGCCTTGTCCCTTCTCCTATTATTACAGGCCCTGATTAAAAAAAAAAAAAAAAAAAAAAAAAAATCTGCTCCTATCTTTCTTGTAAAGCCCCCTTTAACTATCAAAAGGCTGTTCCCTAGAGCTGTTCCTTCTCTTCTCCAGGCTGAACAACCCCAACACTCTCAGCCTGTCTTCTTAAGAGAGGTGCTCCAGCACTCTGATCTTCTCCATGGCCTCCTCAGGACTACACTCTAAACAGGTCCACATCTTTCTTCTGGGGACCCCAGAGCTGGACACAGCACTCCAGGTGAGGAGGCCTCACCAGAGCAGAGTAGAACCACCTCCCTCAACCTGTTGGCCACAACTCCTTTTATGCAGCCCAGGATACCATTTGCTTTCTGGGCTGCAAGCACACTCTGAAATAAATGAAGACAGAACAAATTACCAATATCATTAATCTGGGTTACTGCAGTTTTATACCACGGAAAGCTATACCTTATGGAAAGCTATCAGCTCACTTTAATAGGTCCTGTAAATCTGAGAAACAAAGATGTCAAAGAGGGTGCGTGTCCCTCAGCCACACCACAGGAGAGGGAGCATGATTCTGTCCTGCTGGCATCCCTGGAAGCAGCATTTCTATGGAGAGAGCTGAGCTGGCTTTTCTGGGGAGCTGCACAGTGCCTGGGCTCCCCACCAGCGCCTAGGAGCATGGTGCTGGCAGAGGACACCTGTGACCCAGGGTACTGTGGCACAGACCCCCACACACAGCAGGGTGAACAGTTCTACTGCCACCCACCACTCTGCAAAAGCCTTCCTCATCTGGCCTGACCCCAAATCCTGACAATACCTTCTGACCTCTCCTCTTGCCTCCTTCTTGCCCAAGCCATGCTCATCCCAGGCACCACTTTCATGCTCTGGGGATGTGCGCTGCATATTTTTTGTTCTTGTAGGTGACCTGGGGCTGTGGGCTTCAGTCTGGCACAATCCAGGTCTGATCACACATATGGGGACTGCTCTTGTCCCTTAGATGCTCAGAGTTGCCACAACCATGCTCAAGAGCAGAGTCACAAGCCCAAACTCCCACTCTTCCTGGAGGAGATGATGTGATGCATACTGAGCTTGGAATAAGCAGACAGGAGAGCTGCTGTGGGGCTGTGCTTCTCTGTGCCCTCCCTGGCCAGAAAGGGTCTTGTGAGGTTTGACACAGAAGGGCTAGAATAGCTACTGCACCTCCACTGTCCCAGCCACCTTCAACCCCACAAGACCACACAGGGCCATGTTTTGCTGTGGGGCACTGCATTTTCCTGTGGATGCGTCCCAGCAGTGCTGGCGATGACCGCACGCTGCTCTTCAGCTGAGGCGTGGTTGCCCAGTGGAAATACATGGTGCTACTGCTCTGGTGAAAATGCTGACCCCAGCACATGACCTGCCTGAATGAGAACCTCCCATTTGATTAATACTCACATCCTTTCCTGGATTCTGCCATGCTCCTTGAGAACTTTGATTTTCTCCAGGAATACGGGGCTTATAACTTCCTTCTTCCTCCTCATACTTTGATGCCTAACTACAAATGTCTTACCACGTTACCAGTGAACTTTCACTCTGTTGCAACCTGACGGCTTGTTTCAGCAGGTATTCTAGATGTTTACAATCTCATCCAGCTGCCAAGTTTGATTAGAATCAGACTTACAAGTCATTAGGCATGATGGATAGACAGATGTATTCACGTGTAACAAAGTATTATAGTCAAGCAGTAATTTTTTTTGTAGGGAGAAAAAGACTGAAAATTAACTCTGCCAAAAAAGAACATCACAACATGATGAGGTCAGAGTGGACTGTGGTGTGACTGGAAAAGTGAGATCTCCAAGGACTCCTTACAGGTTGGGCTGGATTGTAGACTGCAATGGTGAAAAGCTGGAGGGGCTGGCATGCAGTGTGAGCAGCCAGACCTTGCACAAACACATGCTCATTGCTGCTTCTCCTATAAGGGCTGTATGTCTCTTTCCTCAATCATGGGTTCATTAGGACACCTTACCTCTTGTGCTAGGATCTGTAAGTCTGTATTTGCCCTTTCACACATCATTGCGTGCTTGAGTGGTGCAGAGTGTGCACGATCTCTTCCAGAAACAGGGCCTTCTTCAATCACAAAGCCTTCCTGTACTCCAGAGACATGTTGAGACCAAGCAAGACAGTGGTCCCATGGAAAAAATTGCAATATTTTTATAGGATTCACATAAAATATAGCAGGCATTCATCATGGGGAGCTACAGTGGACCCATGGAAAAATGTGTTAGACATTTCCTAACTCTGATGTTTTTACTGAACACTGTGCTGTCACTTCTTTTGCTATTGCTAGACAAATTTTAAAGATGGCATATATGATAGTGACTCTGCCTTGAGTCACAATTGAGGCCTGGTTCACAATGCACCACTTTCCCTACCAGTGCTCAGTTCAAAACTGAAAGAAGGGAAAGACAAATTTCACTAGCACAAGTCCAGGTATTTTCTGACCGTAGAGAAACATGGAAACACTGGACTGACCTGCTAGTTCTGAAAAATGGATTTTCTGCTGGCTCATATTGTGGGTTGCCTTTTACCAATCGATCCCTAAAAGTCGTCTGAAGAGCCTAAAGGTTTTGAAAGATAAGTGTACTCATTGAAGAAGGCAATTCTTCAACAAGCTGATGCTTGTTTGAGTGTTGAATGAGAATATCAGTGCCATCAGTGATGGTGTCATTATAGCATCATGGGCACTGGCATTGCCATCATGTTGCTCACAACATCAGATTTAAACAAAGCACAGGGTGACTATTGGACTGACTTGCAGAATGTCTCCTGAAGAACTGAGAAATATCTAAGTGAACAGAAAAGAGGAAGCAGATGTCTCTGGTCATGCACTTTGGCAGCAGGATAGCTCATTCTTGTCACTTTGGCAGCCCACCAGGCAGCACCAGAGGCTGCTGAAATCAGCAGATCCATGAGGGCTGAGGACAGTAGGAATGGCACAGGCGCTCATGGGGCTCTGTGTGTGTGTGTGTGTGTGTGTGTGTGTGTGTGTGTGTGTGTGTTACAAAGTAGTTTTTACCAATAAGGAGAATGAGATTCACTTTCTCCCTGCAGTTACTTTGCTTTTGTGAGACCAAATGAAGAGCGGCATTAAGGGCTACTAGCAGGAGTTATTTATTGCACTTTAAAACCACTTGAGTGTTGCACGGTGTACGTGAAGCACTCTGAAACCCAGATACATGCAAGCCTGCCAGACCACGAACAGGATTTTGCCTGGCCAGCTGTCAGTCTCACCCTGTGAGTCACCGATGTCCCACTGATTACTTTCCAGTCAGCTGCAAATGAAATGCCTGCAGCGCCCAGGGGAACAGCAAGGTTAGGACTGCCTTCCTGACTGTCCCCTGCTCCTACACCATCATCTCTGCTGGCCGAGACAGGATAGGTTTCTTCTTGTAGAATCAAGGCAGTTTTTTTCCAGGCTCAAGGACTCACTTTGTAACTAACTTTGAGGGATGTTGGATAATGCCCAGACCTGCTTGCGCAGGTACTACTACTGGCTTGTTGATGGACGTGAGAAAAATCTTTCCTCAGAAAAGTGGATCAGTTCTGGGACAGGGCACTAGAGAGGTGTAGATGCCCACGCTGGGCAGCTTTCAAGACTCAGTGGGACAAAACCACAGCTGAGGTCACACGCTGCTGGCAACAGTCATGCTCCAAGCAGGATGTTTGACTGGAGACCTCCAGAAAACCCTGCCACTGGCACTGCTAGGATATTGTAGTATATTTAACAAAAAGCTAGTCATGATTTAAATGCAGGAAAAGAGCTGAAACAAGCTCCACCGAGCTGACAGAAAAGCTACAGTTTATGCAGATTTGCTCCAAGCGAAGACAACGCGTAGCCCTCCAAGGGGCACGGATACAAACACAGCCCTCGCTGTCCCGCAGCAGCTCGCTGCTGCCGCTTACACCCTCTGCCACAGGCGAGCTCTTCTGGGGGCTGCTACAGCGACCGTTCCAGCATGCTGCCACCGGGCACCGTGTAGGAGAGCCAGCCGAGGCGGGATGCGCCCACAGGGCCGGCCGGAGCGGCGCGGGCTCAGGCGGCACGGGCGGGAGGCGGCACGGCGGGGGATGCCGGAGCGGGGTAGCGCTGGGGGTCCCGCCGGCGCTCCCGGCGGAGGCGGGCGGGGCGCGGGGCNCGCCGCCGGGCCCCTGCCCCGAGCCCTCCCCGCTGCTCGGTGAGTGCCGTCCCGGCTGGGTTTCGGGGGACGGGCAGGGGCCCCGCCGCCCGGGGTGCCCGACGCCGCCGGGGCCGCGGGGGAGGAGGCGCTCGGCCCCGGCGGTCCCGCTGCGCCCGTGGGTGCTCTCCCCGCGGAGCGAGCGCCGTGTGACAGCGGCGGGGCTGCTCTCGCCTGTGCCGCCGGCGGAGGGGGATTGTGGGAGAATCCCCGGGGAGCCCGTGCGCAGGGAGCGCGGCGGGGATGCTGCCGCGGGCACGGCAGCGGCGAGCGGAGCCCCTTCCCTCTCGGGAAGCGCTCCCACCCCGCCCAGCTAGGTTTCTTTCTTGTTGTCGTCGAGGTTGGGTAATTTCCTCTCGGAACTCTACCCAAAATGCTGCTCTTGCGCAATGCCAAGCTCAGGAAGGCTTTTTGCGCTGTGCAGGCTTTTCGCAGCCTTTCTCTGTCCGCGGACCTGCTGAATGAGCGGCACGGGTTTAAAAGGAGCCGTGAGGCAGGGTCATGAGTACAGTTGTTATGTATCCCAGCGGCGCTTTCCACTGGACATATTTGGTCCTGTGATGCAGTACCGTGATACGTGGCAGCCTGGCGTGTGTTTTATCTGCACTGGAGCTGTGCTCCCCATAGGCCTTTTCCACGACCGCTTGGGTGCTGGCATGCTGGCAGGATCTCGGTGGGTTTGCAACCTGCTGGTGGTCTTGTTTTTACTATGTGATGACCTGGAGCTGTTTTCATCTGCTGGCTTTGTCACAAGGCAAAGGGACAAGGGGAATTTCAGATTTTTTTCGGACCTTTAAATGGCTCTCCCACCCAACTTGTTGCTTGTAACTGCTGCTCCCTGAACAGACACTCCTGTGCTGTAGGTAGGGCTGTTACCATGACCTGCTGGCATCCCACGTTGACAGTAGCCTGGCCACACCTGGGGCCCTTGAGGCTGGGAGTAATCTCCTTCATCCACCAAGTGTGCCATTTCAGCATAGCTACCTCTGTTACCAGAGATCACATCAGGGGAAGAGACTTCTGAGAAGCTACCTGTGGTTTTCCGTTTACAGAACCGACAAAAAAAATCATCGTTTCTCTTGGTGCTTGCTGGTCAGCTCTTTGTGGATCAATGCATCTGAATTACAAATTACTGTTTTGTTATTTTAGGAAGGTGGTTTTGAGGTCACTAAAAGAAACTGTCCTGTGTTTTGTGTTGCTGTTTTTGATTTGTATCTTTCGCTTTTTCCCCCTACATCACTTACGTTGAAAGTGGCTGTGCAAGCCTGTCTTCAGAGAGTGGATGTGGAAAATCTTTATGAATATGGCTTTGCTTTGAATGGTCTCCACTTAGTCTGATCCTGTCAGGAGTGAGTCATGTGCTTTGGAAATGCCTGGAGTTCAGAGAAATGCTCTTAGTGACCCCAAGATTCAAAGTGTTATTGGAGTTAGTTGCTGAAGGATCATTTAAGATGTTTTGAATCATCTTTCTAACATCTTCAGTGCCATTCACTGAATCTGCCAAAGGCCATATGAGGCTGCTGGCAGTGGTTACTGATGGTCAGGAGAGCTAGAGGGCCACGGAAGAAGTATCTCTTTACAGGCAAATGTTTTCTAGCTGTGTTACCTTCAGTACTTGTGGGGTGGTGCAGTCACATGCAGCCTGGCACCGTCACAGCATCAAGATTTATAGCCAACATGTAGGTGAGAAACTGTTTGTTCTTTTGTTCTTTTTTTTTTTTTTTCCTCTGTTCTTTTCAGATTTTGGTAGCAAACAGCATTTGTTAAACAATTGTATCGTGCCTCTCGTGTTGGTCAGAGCTGAGTCTGCCCTGATCAGCATCTCATGTGTCTCTAAGGCCACCGTGGGGAATAGAGGGTGTGCACTTTGTGGGCACTTCTGGCCTGTAATTTCCCCACCCAGAACTCAGAAATAGTCATTTTTGAGCTCAAAACTCACCAATATGAACATAAAAGGCAGGAATCATCCTGTGATTCCTGTACTCCCAAAAGCATGGGGAAGTGCTCTGATGGGAACAGGTAGCTCCAAAAACTCCATTTCCTCAGCAAGCCAACATTTATTGTAACATACATGATTCTGGGTTTTTTAATTTCCTGCCTGCCCCTCCCCCATCGTTGTTGGGAAGCATGTGATGACTCACACAGGATATGTGTGACTGAACTGCTCAGGCTTTTTGAATGGTAAAATAGCCAGGTACTCATTTCAGAGGCCCACAGTTTTCTTCCTAGCAGTCTTTAGAGAGTAGTTTACAATCCCTGCTGTCTGGCTCTGCAACAAATGCATTAGCTGAATGAGGTTTAATCTCTTACAAGAAGCTGCCAAATTTTAAATGTACTTTTATGGTTCACTTGCTATTATTTATAATTTAAAAGAATAAATCAGGACTGGGGTAATACTATAATTCAGCTTCTAGCTGAAAGTCCTTAAAGGCTATGCAGTTCTCTAATGCAAGGTAATATAAGCATTTTGGATTTATGCTCCAGTTTCGAGCTGCATGCTAATGAGTATCTTAAATGGGGTATCAGGAAGCGGAACCTGCTTGCTGCAGTAAAATCTCAAGAATTCCGAGAAATTCTGGTTTCTCTGAGAAGCCCAAAAGCAAGTAAATCCAGGTATTTCCTGCAGGTGTCCATTCTCCAAATTGTTACATTCTTTAGGAGATGCAGAACAGTATTGTGGTATTTGTTTTGGTTGGGGTTTTTTTAATAAAAATTTGCTCTCTAGAAGTAGTGTTGGCCTTAGCACTTTCAAACCAGTCAAATGTGTTTCTTCCACCATTTCCATGTGGTTTTTGTATTTTGGTGTTGGGGTAGGTACATGCCTGCTGGTTTAAGGAGGGTATGCACAAGGGGTCAAATTCTTCAGCTGAAAGATCCCTTTCCAAAAGAGCTCATTTCAATGCAGTAGAATTTCATGCAAAGCAGAATTTCTTAGACAGGCTTACCTATGTTTCAGGGATGTAATTTTCAAGTTCTGCCCAGGTGAGTGCACATATTTATGGAGGTTTTTTTAGAGTACAGCTGTCTCCTTAGCCAATTCTAACCCCCGTATAGACACCAGGTGTGGCTGGGATGGCAAACATAAAATATGCGCTCTTTTTGCCATGAGCATCTTCTGGGAAAGTTCACCCAAGTGCGGTAAATATTACAGTCATATGTCTGTCTTAATGGTTTTTCATGCCTAGATATAAAATTAGAAAATTGATAACTCTGTACGCTAGTAATAAACGGATAGTCACAAAACAAAAGTGTAAGTTAATATATGAACCAGTGAATTGTCCAAAGGACAAATCACTAGAGATGTATTCATTTTCAGTAAGGTTTAAAAACGGCTTTTTCCTGGGGTACCTTAGAATGGATTGGATTGGATTGAATTGGATTGGATTGGATTGGATTGGATTCAATTGGAAGGGACCTTAAAGATTGTTTACTCCTGACTCCTGATGTGGACATGCACACCTTTACCTAGACCAGGTCATTCAGAGACACATCCAACTTGGCCTTGAACAAACACTTCCAGAAATGGGGCTTCCAAAACTTCCCTGGACAACCCATTCCAATACCTCACCACTGCACAGTAAAGAATTTTTTCCTAACATCTAATCTAAACCTGCTGCAGTTAAAAGCCATTGCCCCTTGTCCTGACACTATCTTGTTAAAAGTCCCTCTCCAGCTTTGTTTTTTCCGTAGAACCTTGTCCTCTCCAAGCTGAACAGTCTCAGCCTGTCTTCACAGGGAAAGTGCTCCACCCCTCTAATCATCTGGACTCACTCCAGCAGGTCCATGTCCTCTCTGTGCTGGGCCCCCAGAGCTGGGTGCAGGGTTCCAGGTGGGCTCTCAGCAGAGCAGAGGGGCAGAATCCCCTCCCTCCCCTGCTGCCCACACTGCTTTGGATGCAGCCCAGGACACGTTTGGCTTTCTGGGCTGGCAGTGCCCATGGCTGGGTCATGTCCAGCTTCTTGTCAGCCAGCACTCCAAAGTCCTTCTGCTTGGAGATCTTAGGCTTACAAGGAAAAGAACTCTTTCTCCAAGACGTCAAAGAGTTCTGGATATAAACTAGTGCTTCCCACTTCCATGTTAGTGAGGTATGTTTTAAAAAAACAAGGATTGAAAGAAAAAAACTCATTTGGACAGCTGCCACTCAGGGAGGAGAAGACCTATTACACAGGCTGTGTATTCAATGCACTGCTTCTAATGCCTGTGTCGTCAGTACAAGCAGGTTCTCTAAGCAGTTGGTGCTGAAGATAAGTGATGAGGGTTTTCTGATGCTTTGAGGTAGCCTGTAAAATCAGCTTATGGTCTGCATTGCAGAAGTGTTTAGAGCTTATGTACTGCCTGAGGTGGAATTCATAAATAATATAGTTTGAGGCCCTGCATATGTGGACATTTTGTGGGCAGAGGTAGAAGATGTTTTACTGCTGGCAGAATCCTAGCAGGACAAAACTGGGGCAAGAGGGTGAAAACCTAAGAGATGCTAAACCTGCCATTTTTTAGGAAGACTTCTAGTGGCGACAGAGATGAAGGGATTTGGTAGGTTTGGCATGCCTGGGGTCTGGTCATCCTGTCACATTGCCCACCTGCAGTTGTAGGCTCTCATCTTGCCCTGGGGAGTTTCTGCCCCAGGAATTTGAAGCCTCTGAATCTGTGGGGTCACTTGCAATACCAGGCAGTGGAGATAATATTTGCTTTTCATGTAGCATCTCCCTTTCCTCTCTCATCTGGACCTGCCTTTTTTTAACCTTTTTTTATGTAGCCGGTCTCTGCTCCTTCCTGCCTTCCTGGGTGCTGGAGGCATTGCTTTGCTCACAGACACAAGCTGGGGTTGTGTTGTGTTCCTCTACTGCCTTCTTTTGAAAAAGTAAAACAGAAACTCAGAGAAGAGCATGGAGAGGGCAGGGGAAGGGGGAGATAACACATGAATCAGTTTGCTCAAATTTAAGCTTTCTTGGCTTCAAAAGAGTGTTTGAGAAACTGTTAAACTTCTCCAAAGAATATGCTTA